CAATAGTGGATCCTTTAAATTATAGTCCAATGTTGTCTATTCTAATAGCTCCTTAATTTAAGTATTTATCTCAACTAACTGTTAACTTCGACACCTTTTTTATTAGTTATTTTTATAAGTCTCTAAATTTAAAAAATATGTAATATGCTCCAGAAATAACTAAAAATCTTATATCTCTCAAATAGTTTGCCAAAGATAAATTTGCATTTCAAAAATTTCAACATAACCATTTTTCTTATATGTGATTACATTATCAGGATAATTTTACTCTATGGTCCAATAGAAGAAGATTTATACAAACTCTTAATGGTGCCTCTCTTTATGCTCTCATTAATGAATGAGTGTCTATGACACGATAACATGTTAGGCTTGACATCCTTATTCCCATATCTAAAGAAAATAACTTTCTAATTTTGATTACTTGTAATAAGTTATCATCTTTACCTTTTTTTAAAAAGAAAAACAATAATTATTATTTTTTTTTCAAAAATTTATTCTCTCAACACCTTATGTAAATTAAGCCTCGTCACCTTTCTATCACTCGTAATAAGTCTTTGAAGACCTTGAACTTGTTTATTTACATAGATAGAGCCAAAACCTAGAGTATTATGATGCATGGCCACGAATATTTTCTTTAACGTGCTGATAATTTTAGTAACTTCTCATGGATTTTTTTTAACTTCAATTGAAAAAATAATGTTTCTTTAATTGTTCTCCACATTATTTTCATATTTGAGAAACAATTTATTGTAAATTTTCTAAAACTTCAAAATGGTGGTGGTGGAAAATTTCAAAAATTAAGCCCTCACCTTCATCACGTAGCCATAATCCATCATCTTACATGTCCTCGTATATGAACAAAACGAAAACACTAAACTTGAAAAGTGTAGCTAGTTTTATATTGTTAGCATGTTGTCATGAATGTCTTCACTGTTGGCATTACGACTTTGAATATATTGTATCTCTCATTAATGTTCGTCTACTTCTCATTTTCATAAATTTTTCATATTTTATATTACATAATAAAGAACTAGATTTTCTTTATTTAGATTTGTTGAATGTCAATAATTTTTTTATTAATACCATTTAATACTTATAAAATTTTATTGCTCAATATTTTATATCTATCTTAGTGTTTCTCTTTGCTATTATGAAAGATGTTACCTTATTGTTTAAACTAATAACCAGTATGTTGTGCATCATGCATGGTCTAACAAATTTGTTTTTCTTTTCTTGCCTTTAAAATTTTGTCTCTTAGAATTCAACAGCATCTCCTGTAAGTCCTTTATGAAAAAAAAAAAATTTCATTTGTTGGTTCGTACTTTACGTATACTTTTTATTATATGACATATTTAAAAATATTGAAGAATTTGTAAATTATAAAAACAATAATTATGGAGATAAGGATTAATTTTTACATTATTGTTATTTATTGTTTGATTAAAAATGTTGGTCTAACAAGTTGACCCAGTTACTAGAATTTTTTTTTAAAAAAAAGATATATATACAATTGAACAAAGAAGTACTATGAATCTAAAAGGTGATGAGATGACTTTGTCAGTCTCAATATACTTTTAAACCATTGAACTGAAGCTTTTGGAATCCTTGTAAGATTGTTTTTATAGTCCACATAGTAGAGTCCAAACCGAACAGTATATCCTGAGTTCCATTCCCAGTTGTCCAACAATGACCATGCAAAATAACCTCGAATATTACACTTGTCTTGTCTGTATATATTTAGAAGTAAGTCTTTATAATAAGGCTCTAACTTTTGAATTAAGTGAACATGAGTTAGTTGTTTACGTACCGTATTGCCACAGACAAATTAGATAGATAGTCTCTGTGATAATTTATTCTCTTCTTATCCTGTAATGCCTTATTTAAAGTTATGAAGGGGCTATTTGGATCATCCATACCTGCATTACTCATAAATTGAAACTATTATATACCATTGATTCATAATTCTAAAAGAATGAATTTTTAGGTGTCTTCTCACCATTTTCAGTTATAATCACATGTGGATTCTCATACTTATCTCTGATATATATCATCAACTTTCTAATTCCCCAAGGGACGATATGTAGCCAGTGAGAAGCTGCCTGGGTTGTGGAATACATAAGATAATATATAATATACTTTTAAGTCAATTTTTGTAATATAATATTTTTTTTCTTAAAACCAAACCAAATCTAAATATTATTATTGACACATACCCTTTCTCCGATAGCAACTCCATCTCGAACAACTACATATACTATTGTTAGTTTCCCAAGTTAAAGCAATTATTATATGAATGAAAATTTTTAAAGATTTAAGGGTTCTTACATGTGGTAATAACAGCTGCATCAGATGAGGCATCATGCAATATTAGCTTTTGAATTTGAATCTTATCATCTTTAGCATATAATGTAGTATAATGATTTATGCCTACAAAATCCAATGTGTGCACCAGCATTTGAGATGTCTCTCTTGGGATTCTTGGTAATCTCTTTGCCACTAACTTTTTCATTGAAATAGGATAGTCGCCTAAGATAAGCGGATCCAGAAACCTGAAATATATATATATATATATTTTTTAATTTTTAGCAAAAATAGAGTAACTTTAAAAAATTTTAATATTTTATATTAGTGTATGACAAGATGATATCATAAAAGCAAGCTAAAGCATTCTTTCAACATAATTAAAATTAGGTCAATTATGTAATTAAAATAAGACATTTGTGGCACCTTATAATATCAACATGTATAAACCGATGAATTTTAGGTCTACACATAACTTAATAGGAGGCCCATAATGAAATGATTTTCTTTGGAAATAACTTGAGAGCTACATGTTCTTTTTCACTCATACATATATGACTTATTCTATTGACATTTTGAAAGGTCAAAATTATATTTGACACCTAATACGTATTCATAGAATCTATTATATTGTACAATATCTTAATAAGTATTTGTGTTTTATATATCACTTAACTTATTATTTATCATAGTTTATATTCATAATTTTAAATTTCTAAATATATTTAAAATAGTACGATTTACATTATTCGACATATGTAGAAGCTACTTTATTAAAAAAAAAACTCAATAAACAATATTTTTTAACTAGTATGATATATATATATATATATATATGTATATATATAAAAGATGGTAGTAAAATTATGATTAAAAGGTATTGAAGAAATTTTACCATCCAATTCCAAAATCCATTGCTCTGAGTGCTGCGTCTCTATCTTCATCGTTGTCAGATATTGGTTCATACCACTTAGCATCCAGTGCCATTCCAATTTGACCTTTTTGTGTCTCCTATAACATTCAAAATATGTACACAATATATATATATATATATATATATATGAAGTTATTTATTTGTCTCATACTAATATAATATATTACGAAAAGACTAGAATAATTATTTACTATGATAAGGAATACCTTGAAATTTCTGTGGTAGCTATGATAAGCTGAAGCATGAGATAAAAGGATGTTGTGAGCTACAATATATGGTTCAGTAGATGATTTTCCTTTCTTACAGAAGATATGACCAAGAATCGAACACCTTCCTGGAGCTTGAATGCCTGTATCATAACCTTGAATCGAGAAACCATGAGGTTCGTTGAATGTAATCCAATGTTTCACTCTATCGCCAAAAGCTTCGAAGCAAGTAAAAGCATAATGCTCAAAGTCTATGCTGTAAGATTTCATATATATACTTATAATAAACATTCAATCCTTGAACAAAATCCTGAGAGGTAGGTAAGTTGACGTAAAAATTTCATGTGCGGGATACTTAACACTATTTGTTTGTTCAACCATCCTTCGTATTTATCCTCAAGCATCTGTGGAAGATCCCAATGATATAGGGTTACATAAGGTTCGATTCCTGATTGAAAAAATTATATTAAGTTAATATATTTACATATATATATATTTATTTATGTATATATCGAGAGAAAGTCGATGAAGAAGAAAGAATTTCGCGTAAATGATGTCTGTAAATAGCAACCTTTTGCCATTAAAGCATCTATCAAGTTGTTGTAGTAACTTATTCCTTCTGGGTTGGGTTCTCCTGTTCCATCTATACATACATACCATGAAATATTAAGAATGAAAAGTAGAAATAATATTCTCCACAAGACTGGAACTTACTTGGAAAAATTCTTGACCAAGATATTGAGAATCTGTAAGCATCCATTCCCATATCCTTCATCAACTCTATATCATCCTGTAAACATTAATCTTACTTAAGATCCAAATATTATAATATTACTTCAAACTGTGTTAGTTATGATCTTCCTTTTACTTCAATCCACCAACCTCTTTGAAACTTCATCTTCATACGAGTGGTACATCGTTATCACTGTGTATGAGTCAATACCCTTAGTACTATTATTATTATATGTATATATGTATACACATGCAAATATTAATATCGATATAAGTCTTATTTAAAGACAATAATTTTTTTTTTTTTTTTTGGGTTCGGAGTTGAAATTTCATTTCTAGAGTTGTTGCCATCACCTAGATTGTCCCTTTGCTTTTTTGTTTTCTTCTTTTTAAAATCCTAATATTTAACTTCTACAAATTACTTAAATTAAAAAATATAAGTCAGTAAATTATACTAAAAAATATACAAACTCTGTTAAAAAGAAGACTTATATATAATCTAAATAATATATTAGACATTTTTTTAATACATTAAATTTTTAAAAATTATTGGCAATTTTTTAAATATATTATATTTATTAAAAATATTTAACTCAAATAACATAATATTATCATATGAAATTTGGTAATTCAGTACTACGATATATATATATATATATTGATATTTAACCTTGAATCGATGATATTGATCAACGGCTATGTCGGCATTGCTGAAATCCAAGATTCTTCCTGTTTGAACATGGAAGACAAAAAAAATATCAATTTCTTTTTTTCTTCATGAAAAAGAAATCCCACCATAGATTTTGAAACTGTGAATTTCTAGTTCTGAGTTCTCACCTGGCTGCCTCGTGAAAGTGTCCCATATGCTTGCTCCCTTGTTTCCTTCTCTCACAGCTCCTTCAAACTATACCACAAGAAAAGAAAAGAAAAAGAAAAATCAAGATCGAAAAGGAAACTTTGGAACAAAATTGAACCCGAACATAAAACACTAGACCCAGATTTATTTGATCTGTTTGGATACGATATAGTCTTTCCTTTCGTGTTATGTATACCATTATACATAACACCTGCTAACTATATTGTTTTGTTTCAGTCTCTCTACAGCTTGTTATATTAATATGAATTGAGATGAAAGAAAATTCAGATGGGTATGAAAGAAACAAGCACCTGATAAGCGGAAGAGGCTGTTCCGAAGACAAACCCATCTGGAAAATCGGCTCTACTAACAGATTCGGAGTAGCCAAACAACCAGGTGATGACGATTGTGATCAGAGATAACACAACACTTACTGCAGTCATGACAGGAGAAGAAGAAGACACCTTTGGCAGCAATTTCTTGATTTGAGATTCATAAAAATGCTATCTTAAACTTGTAAAACTGAAGAATATTGTTTGAAGAAGAAGCCAAAAGAGAGAGAGAGAGAGAGTGAAAGGTGTTGTTGGGATTGACTGAGGTGTCTTGTTTGGCTGCAAAGCTAATTTTGCAATTGTTTACACGTTAATATACTGCCAGAATTTAAGTAAACCAAACAAGAAAAAGAAGAAAGAGAGAGTCCCACATGGAAAAATCACCTTGAGAAAGAAGAGACGTGTGGAAGAACAGGAAATTTCAGGGACTCACGTTGGGATGAATAATTGATTTTAGTTTAGGAAATTCCGCTGGTTGATTAGTTTTGTTTTTAGAAGATGGATAAGTTTAGGTTTCATGTCAAATATTTAAAATTTTATCTCTATATAATATAAATCTATCTTTTATAAAATATATATTTATAATTAATTAATATTAACATATTATCTTTTATACTTTAGAAATTTTAATTAAATAATTAGTATATATATTATTAAAACAATTTTTTATATTTTAAAAATTCAAATAGATAAATATTATGTCTATTATCTTATTAATTTTTTAGTTTTAAAATTTTAGTGGGCAATATTTAATATTTTGTTTTTATATAATATATCTATAACTATAATTAATATTAATACTTTTTATGCATGATTGGAGATATGTATATATATATATATAAATTAGCTACAATGTTCTTTAGTAGCTAAATAATGAGACATCATTAGGTTTGATTTGTTATTATACAATTAATTAAAGATTATTTAAAATCTTGATATAAGGAACATACTTATAGTTTAATCATGTCATGTCATATTGAATGAGAACTATATACTAAACTCAAATATTGAACTTATTTTAATTCATCCATATATAACTTTGTTTGTAGCATCCGGAAAGGAGGGAGAAAAAAAAAAAAAAAGGAGGCCACGTCAGCAGGCCCGGTCAGCAGTCCCGGCCAACCGGGGCCTGCCACGTGGCAAGACCGCGTCACTCCGAAAGGAGCCACGTTGGTGATCCGCGTGGGTGCGATCCGACGGCCCAGATCAATCGCGCGATCGGACTGCCCAGATTCAATCGCACGGACGGCCCAGATTCAATCAAAAACGAAATGAACGGCTGTGATCAAAAGGCAAGGGGTTATAAATAGAACCCCCACACCAGACCACAAACCCTAGCCTCCCGCCGCTCGCCGGAGAAGACGAACCAGAGGCCGACCGCCGCCACCCGCCGCCGCACCGGGGAAATTTCCGACCGCCGATCGAGGTAAATTTCATACCCCCGACTCGTTTTTCCCCGCTGATTCCTCCTATGGCCAAATTGAGGCCAAAATCCCGGCCAAACGGCCGGAATACGCGGCCGAAACCCAGCGGCGCCACCGCGCCCCCTCTCGGTTTTTGCCTCCGACGAGGTCCTTCCCGGCCTCCGTTCGATGCAATTTTTATATCACCGTGATCACCATTCTTTTCTCTACAGGTTGACCGAAGCCGAATCACCAAAACACGAACCTCGCCGGAGAACCGCCGTACCCGAGAGCGCCGCCGCCGGTAAGCTCCGCTTTTCCGTGATTTTTTGGCCCCCCGAGGGCCCTAGGGTTGTTTTTTGACAAGGACCAATGCGAGTGTGGCCGAATTCGGCCGAAAACGGCCGAAAACAGCCAACCCGAGGCGACTCGCCGCCGCCAGCGGCGGCGCCGTCGCCGGAGCACGGCGGAGCCGCCGTGCTGGAGTTGCGATTTGGGCCGAAAGAGGCCCTGGGCCTAATTTGGATTTTTTTTGGAACACGTGCAGGTACTGTTAGTGTGTTTCAGTTTCCCAGAAAAAATTCAGGGAAAATTAGGGACGGCCTCCAGGCGCACTGTGAATCGTATTCGGATCCCGAAAACAAGTAAGGACCCCTCACCCTATTTCCTATCACGGTATTAAAGTTCAAAATGATAAAACGGTATTTCTTGAATTAACGAATGTGTGAAATTGCTTAAGGTGGCTAATGGAGCCCGAGTCTAGTGTGATTGGTGATTTACTGTTATTTGGCCTGTTTACAGCTTTAAATGCAAAATGAGGTTTGATGTGTTCATTTTACAGATTTGTGTGCATATACTACGTTTTTATTAATCATGGGTTGAATGACTGAAAAAACTGATCCTGTATGTTGTCTGTTTGGCATGAATTACTGTTTTGCTTGTTTGTATGTGAATTGATGATGCTGACTGAGGAAAAGAAAAATGAAAGATTGTGTAGACTGATAATTGTATTATGGGGGTCAGCCTAACTAGATATCGTGGGAGATGGTGGACGGACCGGGTCCGTAGGGAACCCTACCGGGATTGTGGTCTCACATGCCGGACGGGGTATGGAGATCTTACGGTTTTGGCGCCCATACCGGACGGGGTATGGGGACGGCCCGTTTCACCCTCATACTGGACGGGGTATTGAGGTTTATGGTTTTGGCGCCATACCGGACGGGGTATGGGGACGGCCCGTTTCACCCTCATACCGGACGGGGTATTGAGGTTCATGGTTTGGCGCCCATACCGGACGGGGTATGGGGACGGCCCTGGAAACTGGTTGTGAATGTTAAAGGTTAACGGGTAGCGGAACCCCTATGGACCCCCACGGATACTAGTAGGCTGGTAAATGAGAAAAAGATATGTTGTACAATGATTGAATTACAAGAGGCGTGATAAGTGTTATGTTTTACAGCTTATATTATTCAATGATTATGATAATGTTATTGTTTTTCTTATATTGTTTTCATAAATTCCACCGAGGTAAGTGGAGGGTAAAGGTTTTATCATAAATAAAAGGATTTGTTGTAAATTATGCTCCATTGGTCTTTTGTGTTTTTCTACCCACCTTTACCTCCGTGACGGTGAGATATCGTGATGTTCTTACTGGGCTAGTGTAGCTCACTCCTTATTTAACCATTTCAGATCAGGAAGACATGGTTCCCGAGCCCGTTCCGCAGGAGGACGACGAAGGGGATGCCTAGAGACTCTGTAGTCATACTCATAGTTTTATTTTCGAGTTTCTCTCTTAGTTAGTTTAATCTTTTATATTTTAAGTACGTTTTTGGTTTTTTTTCGTGTAAGGGATGTTAACTGAAATTTTGATCTCGCTTCCGCATTTGATATATTTAAATACTCATTTCATTTTAATATTTCCGGGGCCGTTACATTCGTATACTTTGTAGATACATATGCATATATGTATGTATGTATGTATTAAATTAGATTAATTTAATTATTGGGTATGATTGAAAAGCAAATGCAAATGACTATGATCATGCATGAAAGAAAGATGATGCCACGACATTCGGCAGTCAAACAATTTCTATCTTATACAAAGAAATTATTATTATTTAATTAAATATTTATTTGTGTGTATATATATATATATATATTTAAATTGAAAATTTGGTTGATAAAGACAAAAAGTGATGTAGAGAGTTAATTTAAGTTGGGTGTGGTTGCACGGCTTAAACAACTTAAGCTAATTATCCTCTTTTAGTCTTCTCAAAATTTAGAGATCAGGAAAGGTGTATTACAAAACAAACTAATCATCTAAAAGGGCAAGTGTCCGATTAGATTTGCTCAACGATGATCCAAGTAGAAATGAGGAAAAGA